GGACACCCCTGGGTTTCAGGGTAAAGGGAAATTAGGATTAAGGTTAAAATTTTGAGTTGGCATTTGGGATATGGTTAAGGTGGTGAAGGGTAGGATTAAGGGTTAAAAGTTACGAGGGTTGACGGTGTTAAAAGGCGTTTGCGGTTGAGGTGAGGGTATGATGTTTAGGGTTAGCACTTGAGGTTAGAAGTTAGGGTGAGGCAGATAAGGCATCTTGGGTTAGGTGGTTAGATGTATAGGCATTAAGGGTTAGGCATTCAGACTAAGGGTTCGAGGGGTTTTGTTCAAGAGGATAGTCAGGTGTTAGGGTTAGGGTTAGGCGATGACACATTTAGGCTGTTCGGGTTCGGCATCCAGGCGGTTTGGGTTTGGTGTTTCAACGCTTTTAGAAGGATGGGGGGGTTAGGGTTTTAAAGTTGGGCTATGGTTTAGGTTAGAGGAACGGTGAGAGGGTTCGAGGTCATTCTGAAATGTGATCAGTTAGTCACCGCAACCCGAAAGAATACACGTTTGGGGTGTTATCAATTGGAGTCTCACCCTAACCCTAACCCCAATCTCAAACCTTGAGCTGTAACCCTGAACATCGTACCCTCACCTCAACCATAAACCCCTAATGTCAACCCTCTAACTTTTAACTCCTAATCCTACCCCTAACCACTTGAACAACATCCAAAATGCTAACGAAACTTTAACCTTAATCCTAATTTCCCTTTACCCTGAAACCCAGGGGTGTCCGAACTCGGTCCTCAAGGGCTGCTGTCCTGCCTGTTTTCCAGCTCTCCCACGAGCAACACATCTGATTCAAATAATCAGGATCGTTGTAATGCTGCTTCAAAGATGGCTGATGAGCTGATCATCTGAATCTGGTGTGTTGCAACGGGGAGAGATGGAATGCATGCAGGATAGCGGCCCTTGAAGAACAAGTTTGGACACCCCTACCCTACTTTATCCCTAATCCCCTCACCCAATCCCAAAATTAACCCCCAACGTAAACCATAACCCCCGAACCACCTACACATAACACCTAAAACCCTAAATCTTATGACCTCTCGCCCCAAATCCAACTCCTAGCGCAAACCTTAAACCTTCATCCTAATTCTCTATAACCTTCCAACCACAAATACCTAATCACTTAAGGAAAACTGCCTAACTGCCGAAACACCCAATCCGAACACCTGACCCTCCTCTTTTAACACCTAACCCTCGAACCTGATTCTTTGAACCCTCGCACTGAACTTCAAAACACCTAACCCAAGCATCCTAACAGCCTAACCCTTACCCTGAATCCTACCTTATCTGAACCCCAAACCCGACTCTTAAACCCTAACCCCACTGATGACTCCTAACACAAATGCCTAACCTCTCACAGCTAACCCTCACCCTCTAACCCAAAGGCTTAACTGCCTAGATGACTGCCTAATTTCTAAATCCAACTCATAACATTAAACCCAAACCTGCTTAATCCAACCTTTAACGCTGACTTTCTCACACCCAACCCTATCCCCCCAACTACCTAACACTTAACCCTCTAATCCAAAAACCCTATCTCTAACCCTAACCCGCTCACCAAATTCCAAATCCAGGTGCTTGTTCTTTGCACCCGTAATGAGCATTTTTCACAGGCCTGGTTTATTTAGTGGAGATGACAGTGCTGTTGCACAGTCTGCGCTGGTGCGGATGGATGGCTTGTGGAGCTGAGGATGAGGCGAGAGGAGCGTCAGTGCTGACCGTCGATGCATATTTGGAATTGAGAGCTGCATCTTGGAATTGAAACGAATTTACGGTACAGAAGTGAACCAGTCTTTTTTTCGTCAATGGATGGTACAGCTTCTTGTTTACTTTCAAACTTGGCTTGTTGCAGATGTGTGCACATATTGAGCATAACTTCTCTGATCCACTGATGAGATGACACGATGGCTCTTTCATCTAGAACTGCTTGAAACAACGGATATGCAGGAGAACTGTCTCCAAGATAAGATATCCTTTATTTGTCCCACACTGGGACAAATATGCATCCATATGCAGGAGAACTGTCTCCGATTGCATGACTGTCCGTGTTTTATGTGATGTATATTTTGTTGATTAATGTTAGATGTTTATCCTGATGTAAAGAAACCCGCCTTGGGGCTACAGGTGAAAACCAGCATTTAGAAGTATGCCGCATTTCCGCTGTTTATTCTTGTTGATGAATGTGCACTGTTCCAATAAAATAATAAATCTTGAACCCAACTCAGAATGCTAACCTCCTCACAACCCCTAACCCAAACCAAAACCCTCAAATCGCCGACCCTAAACTCCCCTGAACCCTAACCTCTATAATCCTTAACCCAATGTTAAATCCTCTAACCCTAACAGCTAATGCTCCCCTTAACCTGACAAATCTTGCGAACCTGAACCCAATTCCCCTCTAACCAAAACTGCATAAGCGCCAAAATGCTGAAACCAAACCGCTGAAAGGCACTCACCACCGAACCCAAACACCTGACCCTCCTATTAACCCCAACCTCGAATCATAACCTCTAACCGGAATCCTTTCTAACGCCTAAACACCTAACCTAAGATGCAAAACTTAACCCTAACCCTAACACCTTACCCAAACTCCTAAACCTTAACACCTAA